AATATATTGATTAATCGTCCGGTACACAGGATTCCGATTACACACCGCTTTCTCTCTAGATCTCTCCAAATCATGTCGTTAGTGTCACACCCCCGGACCAGACGGCGGAAATGTCCGGAGACGGATGACTTAATTGTGCAGGATCATAACAATTGAATATAAATGAAACATAGCAACTCCAAACATCATAAATTAATATTAATCTTACATTGTTTACAATACATGTTTTGATCAAAAGTTAAACATGAAATAACAAAAGTAGAAATAGCATAATGCAGTGACGCTAATCCTTGCTCATGGTGCTTACCTGCTTACTAGATCCCTGAGAATACAAGTCGTTTTGAAAAGTGTCAACTAAAAAGTTGGTGAGTTTATAGTGGTCTTAAAACCCTATAGTATCCAAACAATAAAATAGTGGTCTTAAAACCCTAAGACTGGTGTGAGAAAAGCTTCGTTTATAGTATCCAAACAATAGTTGTCTCTAATCGAAAGGTGTAACTTGAGTAAATTTCTAAAATCATATTCTTATATTCTAAGTGAGTTGTTATAACTATACTAATATGATGGAGTGCCTATCCATGCGTTCTTCAGGCGCTATATTCGATTAAGACATTTGTCACCCTAGACTGGCCGGTCTGATTGTTGCGAACAACGAATGTGTGGGGTGCCAACCCCGTACAGATTTATACACAAATTCCCGCTCCCCCTCCAGGAGACTCTGGTTATAACTCTTACAGGACTTTAAGCGTACACTATTATATATATATATATATATATATATATATATATATATATATATATATATATATATATATATATATATATATATACTGTGAAGATTCGTCTAACTAGAATACTAACAAAATTTTGAGCAAATCGTTGAAATCCATTATTTATTAAATAAATAATGATAGGTGTACTCGTTGACTAGATCTATTTTTCGTTTATTGAAAATAATCCACTTTAAATCACAATTATCCAAAAATGGCTCAATATTAGTCAAAAGGTATCATAAGTAGTTCAAAACTAAGTGAATTGTTGAGAATGACCCATTTCTTTTAAAATGTTCATTTTAGACTTATATTTATGAAACATTCAAAAAGGCCCTTGTTTTTCCAAAAATTCAATTTTTGGTCCTTCAGAAATTTGGACGTTCAATGATTCCTCAAATCTATTTCATGTTCCAAAAATGATATATATATATATATATATATATATATATATATATATATATATATATATATATATATATACGGATCTATGTTTTCACTATTAGTCATACAACTTTATGAACACAAAAGGAAACCTAGCATGTATCTACTGTTGTCAAAATTGGCATAGGAGAATAGAATACATACATTTTGTTGTTATATAGTAATAACAACTAATTCCTTGAGTTTCCTTAGCTCTTGAAAGCAAATACCACAAGTGTAGTACCTCTAATGGCTTACAAACACACTTTGAGTGAGAGGATGAATATGAGAGAGATGAGGAAAGGTACTAAGCTCCAAAATTTGGCCCTTAGTAGGGTTTTCCCAAGGGGTGATCATATTCTAATGCCTTAGGGTGCTATTTATACTTGAGGCTAGCTAGGGTTTCAAGGTGGAAACCCTAATCCCTTAGCTTAGGGCCTAAGCAAGTCCATTGACTCATTTCCTTAAGCCCTTGCACAAAAACTCCTAGATCCTTCTAGAATTTTCGTTCAAGCCTTAATAAAGGTGATCCAATAGCCCAAAGTCTCAATTATCAACTAATTACAAAACAACCCCTATACTTTTAATTAATTCCTTTAATCCTGAAATTAATTCCTAATTAATTTCTGATTAAATACTAATAAATAATATGATTCCAAATTAATATATTATTCATATAATATATTAACATATCATATTTATACCCCAATTTATTATTCTTAACAATAAACCAGCCTCTCTCCTCAACAATCGTCTTGTCTAGTCACCAGTGTGAAGGCAACCCAAAAGGACCATGCTCACAATTGGGTTAAGGACATACCAAAATAGTTATGGACTTAGACACTAATCCAACAGTCTCCCACTTGGATAAGTCTTATAACTATTATGCGTATGACTTCAGAACCTTATCAGCAATCGTAGCTTTCAAAAGCCGTTGTCAACTCTGATATTATCAGAAGTGTGTCCTTTAGAAAAGGGATCATATATTCCTCCATTCTTGATATCTTATAGATGTGAGACATAGATTGAAATAATTCTCTCAGTCTATGTGTTGTTTCTCGATTTCCGATTTACGACGACTGACAACAGACTACACTTGAACACATCAACTTAGTTCCGGCTTGGCCAAGTGCTTAGGTGTCATCACTAAATCATCGAGGGGCCCACAAATATCGCTTTTATCCCACTTTGGGAAAAAGGAATGGATAAACTTCAACTCAATGCTCGCTTGTACTCACTCACCGAATTACACACAACAATACGTTTTATAGCACCAAGTTACTGGTGCGTTTACATATTATCAATGTGTAACCGGCTCGCAAGATACAACTTACATATCTCAGTTTCAAGAATATATGATATTATCATCTCACCAATCACTCGTGATAAAATCCATGAAGCGATCCAAGTGAGCGTGGGTTTAATCCAATACTCTAATCTTAGAGCAACACTCATGAACCCTGTAGCAAACTTTTGTTATGTATAAAACACTTTAGACAATCTACAGTCAGATTCATGACAGTCTTCATTCGTACCTACTTCCAAAGTATGAGCGATTGTGAAGGGTTTGAATAATCTTATTATTCGGGAAGTCAAAACATGCAAAGTGAAACACAAGAATAGTACTAATTCTATATGGCCTCAAATCTTTGAGTATAAATAAAACATTTTATTTAATCACCATATTAATTACTCATTATTTGTTGTTTTGGGTAATCAACTTCTTACTTGAATTATAACAACAGTTGTCCCATGCTCTTAGTATGCACACTATGTTTACCTATGGTCCTTACTTTGTGAAATAGTATAATTGAATAATATTTTCAATCACCCTCATTTCATAATTCCTAATCCATTAATGGAAGAATACAAAACTCTCGCCACTACTAGAATATGTAAGATTCTAACATTTTGTACAACAGTCATTTCGTAATGTTATGGCACAAAAGTCACCAAGACTCGGCCAGTGAAATTACAAAATGCTCTATTGGATATTGTTACAAGATAATTCCATAGTTATGAAGTCTCATATTTAAAGTACATTTCTTTGAACATCCTTCTTGCATAAAAGTTTCTAATCTATACATTGATCCTCGATATCCAATCTCCCAATATGGAAACATTTTCATATTTTCCATATGACAACTAATTTAAAATAAAATCTTATCTATTCATAATAATATCAATATGGTCCATCCATGACTTTACTTCTAACTATCCACAAGTGACCAATCCTTGGCGAACCTTAGATTGTCTTTGATAATTGTTTAATTAGTTTAGTCAAATCTGGTTCTATTCCCTTTTTCCCTCTAAATGCCCTAGGCATTTGGAAAATTTTAGAACAGTCGAATATTACAGCATATGCAATCGATCCTATATCCGAAGCGGATGTGATACGATTTATAAGGAAAAAACATGACACTTTACCAGT